GAATTGACAAATAGTCATCCCATTACTTCATGATGTTTAGTGTTTATGAATCATTTAAAGGGTTTTTTTATTTCATTAGAATGGAAGTTATGTTTACTTCTATGGGCAAAACATGATTCCAGAGGTAGGTTAGAATTTTATCTGAAAGAGTTTCTTCAATAAAAATTTCAGAAATCAAAGCACTTGGCACTCAGAATCTGCTTATTCATGCTGTAAGTTAATTTAAGTATGTGTAATCCAATGATTATTTTGCCTCCTCTTTTTTCTAATCCAAATTCCTCTTTACATTATCCGAAGATGAAAAAGAAGAATTCAAAATTGATTCATCTCTGAAAGTCAAAGTCTTATTGTTTCATTTCTAAACAGAACCGACTACCTCAGGTATGGAATCCTCTTACCTATAAAGCTTAACTTCATTTCTTTTGCTTTCTGTCAAATATTTAGGTGATGGCAATTCTGCTTATTTTGTCTTGCATTATTTCTTACCCACTCAGGTTTTCATATCTCGTCTTCTTGAATTAAGGTAACTTTTAATCACCGACTTTTATGTTTGCGAAAAATAAGGACATGCTTAGTTCTCGTAGGCAACGAGATAAATAATAATCCTCCAGTATCATCCTTAAATGCTTCAAGGGATAGCTACCACATGAGGGTGTTCAACTCTACTAGGTTACATGTTACTTAGAGCCCTCTCAACTTCTTCAGCGGTTGGAGACCCTAAGTCAATGTCCCATTAAGGATCCGACTGGATAGCAGGAAGTGGAAATCAAGCTGGAGGTCCCAATATTCCAGTTTTTTCCCTCGTGAGTGAATCGCAGACCCATCCTTTTCCACTATAATCTCTCTGGCCATCCACTTTTTTGTCCTAGTTTTCTTGATCATTCTAAATCACTGTCTGCTGTTACCTATCGCCGATACCCTCTCAGTCTCTTCAAGAGACAGAGTCTACAAGGAGGCGAAGGTGAGTCCCACTGCTCTTTTTAATCCCACTGTACCATTCACTCAAATATCACACAGAAGAATGTTATAGTATCCAGTCAAGCAACGCGAATTCTGTCCTACCACTTAACGCCAAATATGCACTTACAAAACTGAATCTACAAAAACTTGAATTTGGCGGATTCATCCAATTGGAAATATAGGTTTAAGTGAATAACCACACTTAGATCCTGTATGCATATCTCAAAAACTCAGCATATGCCAATAGTCCTGTATGTCACAGTTTTGACTAGCAAAGCTTTTTATCCAATTCAATGATGAGTTTTGACAATGAAAGCTCCAATATAGAGTTATGAGCGTGGTTTTATGGGACTAGAGATGACGTTCTGTTATCCAGAGCAGTTATCAAGGGATGAAGAGTTTTGATGGTGGTTATATCCTCCTGACTGACTACACCGTCAACATTTAATTCTTCCTCATATGCCTGACAAAGGAATTGAGTTAGTGATAGTGATGTATCACCACAGTATACAAGAAATATCTGATTCAGTCTGGTCACATACAGCCTATTTCAGAGCTTTAAAATGAAGCTTGATTGTATTACTGTCAGACAGAAAAATCCTGTACAACCTATACCCAAAGAGCTGAGTCCAAGGAAGAGTAGGTTAGTTTTAGACTTAAGGCCTTCAAACTCTTCCTTTCAAAGAGGGGAAGCAGTATGGAAACTACTTTGCTGATGTTGCACCCTGGTTCATTTAGCAGTTCAATTTCACTCTTAGGCTCCAGTAAACGGTATGTCAGTTACAAGGTCACACTATCGAGTAAACTTTCCTGGCAAAGTAAGACCTGAAGGAAAAATCGTTCCATCCAGTATAGGTCTTACATTTATTGTGTTATGTAATTTTGACCAACATTTTGGATCGATCGATTGTCATTACCGTAAATTTCCACTCACATACAAACAATACTCACAAGGACACGAAGTATTGAATGTTGAATTGATGTAAAACTGTTTCATTTTCACAATATTTCTATATGTATAGCGTCTACTGATAGATGTCTGAAGGTTTTGAATTGTCTTAGAATTAGGACAAATTTCGAAACTGAGAAAAAGTAAAACAAAATTAGTTTAAAGTGTGATTAGGTATCAAAAGTAGAAACATTTTTACGTGTAGATGATAAACTAAACAACAACTGCCTGATAGTGAGTAAATCGAACACAGTGAGTGACTTTAAAAGCCATCTTAGCTATGAATTAAATCTTGGTTGCATGTGTTCTTTGAGCTGGGTTGCTTAATCGTGGAGCTTTCGTCGTCTTCCTAGACGACAACATCAGCACTAACTTCAGTATGAAATGAGCTGTCAATATCTCTCCGTGAGTCATTCAGTTCAGTAGCTTGCCCTAACCAACTGCTTCGTGATTGGTTGTTCCCTTTGATTGTTGTGCCACTGACTGCATAGATTTTCCTGTTGGCTGTCCCTCTGCTTGACCTCTGACCTTTCTGTCGTTTATCATTTTTCTCATTGGTTGATAGATTGGGTCTATGTCCATACATCTATTGATTGCTAACTGACTGACCGACCTGAATGCCAAGCTTCTAGGAATTCTCTCTTATATAATTTTGGTGTTTCCTCTTTCCGTACAAAATTTCCACATTGTCGAAATTCAGTCCATATCCATAATTATCCACGCTCATTGACATGAGCTATGTAATGACGCACAAAATTAGATGCATGCAGACTCTATTCTAAAGAGAGAGAACACAACAGTACAAAAACTTCATGGAGAAATGAAGAAAATTACTTCATGTTCATCCCAAAGAAGAACGACTACCCACAAAACTTTATTACAAGATACCTATCCCCTACAACATCAACTACAAAGCCATCGACAGAAATCAATAAACCCATCATCCTACCGTACATAAAGAATATATCAGAAATCATGACAAGATTACTGAGGTCACTTGGTGCAATTGGTGTGGCTCATTAACCAACAAACTCCCTCCAAACACTATGATGTAGACCAAAGGATGCAAGAAACAAAGAAGACAAACTGAATATCATTTACAAAATCAACTGCAATGACTGTAGTCAACACTACATTAGACAGAGTGGTCTCCCTCTTCGCCTTCGTCTACATGAACACCCATCGGCTACTAAACATCACGACATTTCATCACTCATTTCAACGCACGTGGATAACAACTATGGAAATGAATTCGATTTTGACAATGTAGAAATTCTGGACGGAGAGAGGAAACACCAAAAATATATATGGGAGAATTCCTAGAAGCTTGGCATTCAGGTCGGTCGGTCAGTCAGTCAGTCAGTCAGTCAGCAATCAATAGATGTATGGACATAGACCCAATCTATCAACCAATGAGAAAAATGATAAACGACAGAAAGGTCAGAGGTCAAGCAGAGGGACAGCCAACAGGAAAATCTATGCAGTCAGTGACACAACAATCAAAGGGAACAACCAATCACGAAGCAGTTGGTTAGGGCAAGCTACTGAACTGAATGACTCACGGAGAGATATTGACAGCTCATTTCATACTGAAGTTAGTGCTAGTTGGTTAGAGACAATCGGCA